TATTAAGTCATTTATAAAAAAAATAACTTTTGATTTACGACATCTGTGTTTTTTCTTAATATTTTGAATAACTCAATAGAATAAAATCCTTGTCTAGCAAATTTTTTTTAACTGTTTATTTTTTCTTACAATCACCAATTAAAGTAAAAAATATCAAAAAAGTCCGTGTGGCACGACAAAGTTAAAATTTTGTTGACCAGTGTAATTTTCGTCAGAATACAGCCACAGCACAAAACTAAATGGACCGACAGACATACCAAAATGTAACCAATATATACCAGGATGTGTTTGAAAAAAATATATATGAGGCGGATGTAAAGTCAGGAATATACTGGGTGTTTCCTGATTGAAGCTTGGGCGATTTTTATTCTTTTTCATTTTTGTTTTTTTGTGTAAAAAATTTATCGAAATGCGAGCGGTACTTCTGAAGTTATAGGCGGTATAAGAATCGCGGAGAGACCGACGGACGGAAATGAGTGAAGTAAAAAGCGATAAGTTGGCAGAGCATACCAGCTGACACTGATTTTCTCCATAAATGCAGTATTAAGGAGCTTATCAACCACGGAAATTATAGCAATGATCATGTTTTGTCCAGCAATTACAATTAAATTATGATTATGAATATTAATAAATACTAATAAATTCTCTGCAAGCACCCGCGACCCACGAGCGTCACATATGCATAGCGATGAGGGCAACGATGACGTACAACTATAACAGTTGATTGCTTTTAAAAAAAAATCACGTCAAGTAAATCGGCTCCAGTTATATCGAATTCAGAATTCAGAAATATACTAAGTGACATATAAATCCGAACACCCAGTTTAAATGGTTTCATTTTAATAAAAGTTGGTGAATGTATTTATCTTACTGTAAATAACAAGTGAAAAAATTTTCAGCCTTATCAGTTGGACATTCCTGTTTTTATACTGCTTTTTTTTAATTCACTAACGCTCTAAAAATGAATATTTCAGCCGCAGTAAAGAATCAACGTTGGCGGATTTTGGTTCTTGACATCCTTTACGATCGGTTACGATGCCTAGAGTACGGAGACCTGTACGATTTCGTCAACTTAGTGAGTTTGATAGGGGCCGTATAGTGGGACTTCGGGAAGCTGGACTTTCTTTTCGGGCAATTGCAGTTAGAGTGCAAAGAAGTGTAGACACTGTGGTTAGGTGTTGTCAGGCATGGCTTCGAGAAGGCCGTACGCAAAGAGCAAGGGGCACTGGACGCCGCCGTAGAACAGACCGTGAAGATCGCCGCCTAAGATTATTGGCCTTAAGGGACCGTTTCTCCACTACCAGGTCCATTGATAATGAATGGTTTGCAGAACACGGAAGACCTATTGGCATGAGCAGTGTTTACCGACGAATGAGAAGTTTTGGCTTGTTTTCATACCGGCCACACTGGGTCCTCCCTCTAACTCGAGAACACCGACGTAATCGCCTTGAATGGTGCAGACAACGGTCACTCTGGGATCAAGAATGGAACAGTATTGTCTTTAGTGACGAGTCTCGATTTTGTTTAGGCATGCACGATGGGCGTGCCAGGGTTAGAAGGCGACGTGGTGAAAGGAGGAATCCACAGTTTTTTGTTGAAAGACATGTTCATCACACTGTTGGAGTTATGGTTTGGGGTGCTATAGCTTATGGTTCCAGGTCACCTTTAATCTTCATCAGAGGTAACATGAACGCGCAGCGTTATATCCACGAAGTTCTAGAACCCCATCTTTCACCCTATCTTGACACCCTGGCAGATCCAACTTTCCAACAAGATAATGCCCGACCACATGTTGCAAGAGTCACAATAGACTTCTTTCAACATAATGATGTCACATTATTACCATGGCCACCAAGATCTCCCGACTTATCCCCAATTGAGCACGTGTGGGATATGATGGGTAGGAGATTGCTCAATTTGCAACGTCCTCCTCAGACTCTAGAAGCACTTCGAGAGGAGTTGGTGGTTGCCTGGAATGAGATACCACAGGAGGACATTGACCACCTGATCAGAAGCATGCCTAGGCGCGTGCATCCACACATTATTAAAGGTCAAAGGGCTTTAAAGCAGTGCAATCATTTTGAAATTTTTATCATTTACTTATTATGCTTCATTAAGTACTTATACAACATTTTATTAAAATAAAACCATTTAATCTGGGTGTTCTGATTTATATGTCACTTAGTATACCAATTCAGAAAATCCGGCACTCTTTTTGGCATTGGAAGTAGGTTCAAAAATAACAGAAAAGTTTTTAGAAACATAGGTCCTAAAATGTCCCTTTATCGAAACACAGGGTGATGAGGTTTCAATTTCGAAATAGAAAAGAAAACTTCAGGTTGTGTTAAGGTGTTAACTCGCAATTTTGTACACGGACTGACATACAAAAATGTTTACGCATCAAACAACATCAATGACATAGAAATTGTGAAATTTTGTCCCCCACAGACAAAAAAAATGGCGTTCCAACGATGTTCAAGGTCAAAATAGTCTTCACCCAAGGTAATTTGTGAACCTAAAATTTTTCAGTCAGTAGATACTGGTGCACTCTGGGCGCCCCCCACCACTTCCACTTTTTGGCCACGCCCACCACATCCACCGCGTGCTCTGATTGGCGGATCAAACGGCGGGAAATTTGAACGGGGTTGATGGTATATGTTGATTGGCGGGAACCGCTAGATCCACCGCGTGCTCTGATTGGCGGATCAAACGGCGGGAAATTTGAACGGGGTTGATGGTATATGTTGATTGGCGGGAACCGCTAGATCCACCGCGTGCTCTGATTGGTGGATCAGACGGCGGGAAGTTTGAACGGGTTGATGGTATATGTTGATTGGCGGGCCCCGTTAGATAGCGCACCCGACCGGAAGTGATTCAGACAGCCGACGATAGTAAGGTGTAGTATAACGTCTATGCGTAAGCGATGTGACTCATTTCATGTTTTGCGGTAAATATTTGCATATAGATCGATAAAAGCCCATGAATAATGATATTTATAGATGCAATTCTGCTGATTCAGTTTAAATGGAAAAACGTATAAAATTCGCGGGAAACAATGCGTATAGGATGATCTCAATAATCAACACGTCATATTCAGTGTGCATATAAAAATGGAATTGCTCATATATGTGGTGCATACAGTTAATGTTAGGTAATTTTTAACATTGATACAATATTGAAAACATAGTACAGTCTATATTGTGTATCTAATAAATTCAACAAGGCAATCACCTACGTCGCAAATGAGGTTAGGTTCAGGGCAGGTGTTGTCGTAGCGGTGATATGCAAGAAGTACCGGGCGGGGCTGTTAAGCATGGGTGAATGGGCAGGAAGCGCAGGCTGTCAACGAGTTAATACTGACCAACGATAACAGCGGTGACCTTGAAACACTGTGGTCAGTTAAAAAGTGGTGGGGGTAAAATCGAGATTATAAATACCTATGAATCACCGCAAATTATCTTGTCAGTTATCTGCAGCGAACAGACGTGCTCAGTTCAGATTTAGTCGCTAGTTAACGTTTTAGTTTTTAAAAAATGGAAAAATTCTTCATCGTTAAGGATTCTACTAAGAAGATTAAAAAATTTAATCTATATGGGCGAGAAGTGGAATTTAAAATACGACCTATCCCTAAAGACGTCGAACCTGTGGGATGGATCAAAGACGCTCTGGAGGAAATAGTAGCCAAAGGAACTGAACATCTCCAGCCCAGTGATCAAGTTGGATTCACTTTCTGTTCCAAAGACTTTACCCGCGGTCAAGGATGGATAGCTTTTAAATTGTTTTCCGACGTTTCAACTGAGGACATATGGGAGAAGATATCTTCCATCTATCAGTCAAATTCTGTGGGGTTGAATACCGAGACTTTTTGCTTGGGTATTACGTCCGTAAGGTTGCCTGCTGGTCGTGGTAGAGCTCAGAATTTCAATACCTTTGATGAGGAATGCGCCAAAAGAAAAGGCATTATCACCGTTAAAAACACCGATAATTTGTGTCTCCCACGAGCCCTTGTCATCGCCATGGGCCATTTGAACAAAGACAAAGATTATAGCAGAATCCGCCGTGATCGAGGAAAAATACAAGGACAAAGAGCTGTACAACTTGTGGAAAAGGCTGATATTGTTATCCCTGAGGAGGGGTGTGGAATACCTGAACTTCAAAAGCTACAACGATATCTGCAAAACTACAAAATTGTTGTATACAAGTTTGGGTGCAAAGGTCGTGACGTCATTTTTGAAGGCGTGTCCGCTGGTCCGACGCTTAACCTAATATATCACGAGGGGCACTACAGCGTCATAACATCCCTCACTGCTGCCTTTTGCTGCAGCTTTTTTTGTGAGAACTGCCACATTCCGTATAATACTAAACAAATTCATAGATGTGATAAACAATGTTATGCTTGTAAAAGATCTCCGGCCTGCCTGAAAACGAAGCACATCAAATGCAAAGAATGTAATAGAAGCTTTTATGGACAAGAATGTTTTAACGCTCATTTACCATCGGTCTGTTCTAAAATTAAAAGATGTGTAGACTGTTTTAAAGTTCACAACGGTAATGATCACATCTGCGGATATATACTTTGTAAAACATGTTATAAAAATCAACCAATTGAACATATGTGCTATATACAGCCTGACAGAAGTATTCCTAAATCAAATGATGTCTTATTAATATTTTACGATTTGGAAACCCGTCAGGAGAAGGAATTACCCAATGGATCTTTACTGCATGAGCCAAATCTATGTGTATTCAAACAATGTTGTGAATCATGTACCGATAATCCTATATGCAAGAAATGTGGCCTTCGAATACAGATTCTTCGATGTCAAGACGTCATTTCTCCATTTATGCATCATATTCTGACACTTCGTAAAAAATTCAAGAAAGTCATTGTACTGGCGCATAATGGTGGAGGATTTGATCATCAGTTTCTACTTCGTTACATTTTAGAGAAGACTAGTCTGTACCCGAATGTAATTATGAGAGGAACAAAATTAATATTGATGGAGGTAGGAAATGTAAAATTTCTGGATTCTCTCAATTATTTTCCTATACCTCTAACTGCTCTACCCAAGGCGTTTGATTTAAAAGAGCTAAAGAAAGGATACTTTCCACATTTATTCAACACTTTGGCTCATCAGAATTATGTAGGGCCAATTCCAGCGCTCGACTTCTACGATCCCGACCATTTAAAGGAAGACGCTCGGGAAAAATTATTAAAATGGCATGGCGAAAGACAAGCGGAGGGATACGTTTTTGATTTTCAGAAAGAAATCGTTGAATACTGTATCTCCGATGTGGAAATATTGACACAGGCGTGTCTCAAATTTCGAGACCTGATGAAAACCGAAACCACAGTCGATCCCTTCCAGGAAAGCACCACTATTGCATCATGCTGTAACAAAGTCTTTAGACGCAATTTTTTAAAACCTGAGACGATCGGGGTAATTCCAAAAGGGGGCTATAGATGGCGTGAAAATCAGTCAAAAATTGCCATCCAATGGCTGTTGTGGGAGGAACATCAAAGAGGAATCAAAATTCAACACGCCGCTAAGGGTATAGAAACCATTGTTAAGGGACATAAAGTAGACGGTTTTTGTAGCGACACAAATCAAGTGTTTGAATTCCAAGGATGCTATTTTCACGGTTGCCCTCGATGTTTCAAATACAAAAGAAGCAATCCTCTGCATAATGATCCGTTGAATACATTGGAAAGTCGATACGAACAATCAGTTAGCAAAGTAGAGAGACTCCGAAGCCTTGGACTAGAAGTAATTGAGATATGGGAATGTCAATTTCGAGGAATGCTAAACGATGAAATTAGAGCCTTCACAGAAGCACATCCATTGATAATCAATTTACCGATTAACCCCAGAGACGCTCTCTACGGGGGACGTACAGAAAATATCGTTGAATACTACAAGATCAAAACAAATGAATGCATAAAATATGTCGATATATGTTCCCTGTACCCCTTCATCTGTAAATATGGAAAATTTCCGGTGGGTCATCCAAAAAAAATTTACGTAGGTGAAGAATGTGTTACAGCCTCTCTGTCGCAGATGTCAGGACTTATTAAATGCCAGATTCTACCGAACCAGAACTTATATCACCCCGTTTTACCGTCAAAAATGAACAACAAATTGATGTTTGTTAACTGTCAAAAATGTGGTGAAGATTTCGTTCGAGAAGAGTGTCAGCATTCTATTCAAGAAAGAAGCCTAAAAGGAACTTGGGTGATAGAAGAGGTGCTCAAAGCTATTGAAAAAGGTTACCAGATTATAGAGACTTACGAAATATGGGAATACGATACAATTCAGCTCAGTAAAGACCAAGAGGGGTTATTTAGCGGAATGATGAACAAGTTTCTACAAATAAAACAACAAGCTTCAGGATGGCCCAAACATTGCTTAACGGATGAAGAAAAAAACCGTTATATTGATGCATTTTTGAATAGAGAAGACATAAAGCTGGAATTTTCAAAAATTATAGAGAACCCCTGTTTGAGATCGTTAGCTAAACTTATGCTGAATTCCTTTTGGGGTAAATTTGCTCAAAAAGAAAACCAAAACAAAACCTCAATAGTCAGAGACTGTGGTGAATTCTTTGATATGCTGACTAATCCTTCTATTCATGTAAATACAGTTCTCCCGGTAAACGAAGAAACCCTTCTCATAACTTGGGAATTTAGAGAAGAGGCCTATGACGTTTCTTCAACGGTTAACGTTGTATTGGCTTCATATGTCACGGCCCTAGCTAGACTAAAATTATATTCATTCTTGGAGAAAGTGGAAGAAAGGGCAGTTTACGTAGATACAGATTCATGTATTTATATCTCTCGTAAGGGATTAGACGACATATCTACAGGCGACTTCATAGGTGATATGACCGATGAGCTCAATGGGGGTTTCATATCAGAGTTTGTTTCTGGAGGACCTAAGAACTACGCCTACAAATATACTACTTTGTCTGGAGAGGAACAGATCGTATGTAAAGTAAAAGGCATATCACTCAACTACAAGGCATCCCAAGTAGTCAATTTTGAGAAAATAAAAGACATGGTGCTGAAGAAATCTGATCCTGTTTCTGTACTTTCTCGACAGCTACGACGTACAAGAGAGCATGAAGTAGTAACAGTCGAGTTTCCTAAGGTATACAAGATAACTTCAATGAAAAGGAAATTCTATGAAGATCATACCTCTGTACCATTTGGATTTAAGAAAATAAAGTATTGATTTATTAATGTATGTAAATATTTTTTAATAAACATGTAAAATAAAATGCATGCAAATGATTTTTTGTTTTTTATTTCCCGCCTAATTGAAAAATATTTTTGCACCCGAAATTGTTCAGCCTTTTTACTCCATATAAAATATTTAAAAGTATGCATTGTTATTATTAAACGCCTGCAGTAATATACACCAAAAAAATTGAGAAGCAGTGTAACCATGTGGAACTTTGTATAATCACAAAAAAACATATCTTGGAAAATAAAAAATACAGCAGATTCATAAGCAGTGTAGAGAGGAAACTACGTAAAAGTAATCGAATATTACTAATAAAATAGAGTTTTGAATTCCTATTTTTACAATAATAATCATTTTACTATCTTACGTGTTGGGCACTGCACTGCACGGGTACCAACACTGTACGGGCACGAAAAATTGAGAAGCATGATAACCATGTAGAACTTCGTATCACTACGTAAATGGTTATTACGAAAAGTAGAAATAAAAACTATATTTTCGATAATAGCTATACTATTTTTTATGAGCACCGAAAAAATTGAGAAGCACGATAACCTCATAGAACTTCGAAACAGCACCAGAGACAACCGAAGGCTACAGAAAAAAACACATACTGAAAAGGCTTAACATCTATCAGCGCTGGTATCCGATAATACTGTTTCCTTTGACATTCGTTGGGATATGAAAACACATATTTGCTTCCCACCGTTATAACGGAAATAATAGTTACTGCAAAAGCAGTTTCACGATAAGACCATACATTAATCTACAAAGTTGATAATAAAACATATGTACTATTAAAATGCAGATATTTTTAAAATTATACAATTAAAAAATCAAAATAATATATTATAAATGGTAGGGGATACAGGGTAAACACCGAAATATACTTAATTTAGAATAGTTACTTATAATCTCCTCAGTTCTTTGGTCAGCCGTATCGACAATTTACCGGTGGGTCCTCTATTTTTGTGCATGTAAAAGGTTAGACTATGGCGCTAGCAAAAAAAAACAAAATGCAACAAAGTAGAGTCACTTAATATTCTTGTTGAAATTACGGATAGAATATGGTAGAAAGTAACAATCAGATATTGTAGAAGCCATGTAATTGTTTAATTGTTGAGGAAAAAGTATTTTTCATACGCTGACCATGTTTATGTCCGCTTGGTACGCGACCAGATCTTTTCCAAACCTTTGCCCGTAGGGTTCATGAGCCTACGACCAAATGTGTCGTCGAAGGGGCATTTTTGGCCAAATTCGGTCGAAACCGATGCTGCGTTCGTACCCTAGAGCCTACGAACAGTGACTCAAACTTAATTTTAATTGATATGCAAAGATCTGGCTAGAATGCTTGAGCTAGTGATTATATGCAATTTATCGGTGACGAGCTTTCCTCTAGCATATCTTGATTTATTCAAGCGAATCAATGAGAAACTAGTGAATAAAATTACCTGACAGCCATAGTACAAGTTGGTATATCTACACCTTCTCTTACATTTGGCGCCACTAAAATGTTAATCTCCTTGTTTCTAAAAACGATCGAGTACTTATCTGTTCTTCTTATTAATCGGAAGTGATTCTACGGTGCTATTAAAAGAGTTTCCGTTATATCCCACAACGAAATCCGGCTTTATATGTCTGAACTCTGGTACATGTTCACTCAAATCTTTCAGTACATGGTGCAATATTTTTGGCAGTTGATCTTTCCTTCGTGAATATTAAACCACAAATGTCTTCGTTTGAAGATGAACTGTTGAAAAGTGTTACGTTTATATTAGTATTAATATTTATGACATTTACTTTTTTAAAATAGTTAAATACTACGATAAACTGGGAATGTGGGATGAAGCAGAAATGTTTCTGTAACCCAATTTAGGTATGTATAGCAAGTCTTACGCAAGACAATAATAAAAACAGATAGAATTCGAGGGCGATTCTTGGAAGAAAAATTCATAGTATTTCTAAGGCAACACCGACCGGAGTGCTATAATTTTAGCATACATTTACAGGTTATAGGTCTAATGATAAATAGAAAGTGATTAAAATTTTAACTTCAATTTTCGTAAAATAGCTGAGATATGCCATCTTGCAGTAGCCTGAAATGAAATACCCGACAGGTTACCCATCACCTGATAGTCTGTGGTTCTCGCCGCTAGATGACGCTACATACAAACGTCATCTGTCAAACGTTATGTGTATCATTGATAAGTGTGACTTGTGTCTCTAAGCGCTAGATGGTGTCGATGTCGCACTGGTGTCGTAGAGTGACCCACATACAGGGGTCGATAGAAATTTTTGGGGCCCTACCGACGGGTCGATGAACCGACGGTATAACGTCAGATCGAAATAAGCTCCATTCACATGGGAGGTGTGTGTGGAATTGCTCGTGGGAGACACGGACCTTGTCGTATATAGCAAGACGTGTCCTAAAATGGTGATACCCATTGGTCGCTCAGCCATACAGGTCGGTCAGACAGAAGTTTTTGGGACCGGGGTGCTCTGATTGGTGGATCAGACGGCGGGAAATTTGAACGGTGTTGATGGTATAGCTGAATGGTGGACGGCGGGGTCGGGTGCGTTGGTAATCACCTATGTCGCAAATGAGGTTAGATAGATAGTCGTTCAGTGAAGGTGTTGTCGTAGCGGTGATATGCAAGAAGTACTGCTCGCGGGGGTGTCAACGAGTTAATATTGGCCAACGATAACAGCGGTGACCCTGGAACACTGTTGTCACACGGTTGCAAAAGATGACAGGTTATCTCTTAATTTTCGTAAACAACGATTTTTCTAAAGTGGTAAAAACAGGTCGAAATTTTAAATACCTATGAATCACCGCAAATTACCTTGTCAGTTATCTGCAGTGAACAGACGTGCTCAGTTCAGACTTAGCAATTCCCAACGCTCCTCCGTGGCCATTCCCCTTACCCTCTCGCGAGTGCGGGCATGCGCATGCGGCTCGTTCTGGTCTATAGACATATGATCGCTAATGATCTTGAACAAAGATGTCCTGATACACGAACCGCCAGAGGTACATCAGAAGTAATGTTAGTATTGTGTGTGCGTGTTTTTTGAACACGCTAAGTCGTGATGTACATCACGTGACGTACGTCACGTGACCTACGTGACGTGCGTGTGACAGGTGACGTACGTGTGACAGGTGACGTGCGTCACGTGACACGTGACGCACGTGGCACGTGACGTGCGTCACGTGACACTTGACGCACGTGGCGTACGTCACGTGACACGTGACGTGCACACTTTGTTCAAAAATACCAAAAAGCTGTCTTGATAGCCCGAACCGCCAGAGGTACAACATCAGAAGTAATGTTAGTGCGTGGTTGAGGTTCAAAAACTTAGCGTGTTCAAAAAAAAAAACGTACCTAGACCAAAAGTCATTCTAGACCAGTCACTCTAGACCAAAGCACAAAAAAAACGCCGTTTTTCAACGCCTTTTTTGTCACCATTCCCCTTAGTAGCGCGCATGCACATGGGGCTCGTTCTGCTGGTGCTGGTGCTGGCGCGGGCGTAGATAGCGTTTGTGGTAAGGGTTGGGGGTAGGTCTTGTTCTCTTATCGCGCACGAGTAAGTTTGTTTGTTGTGTACCATAGGATAGTGGTAAGAGAACAAGACCTACCCCCAACCCTTACCACAAACGCTATCTACGCCCGCGCCAGCACCAGCACCAGCAGAACGAGCCCCATGTGCATGCGCGCTACTAAGGGGAATGGTGACAAAAAAGGCGTTGAAAAACGGCGTTTTTTTTGTGCTTTGGTCTAGAGTGACTGGTCTAGAATGACTTTTGGTCTAGGTACGTTTTTTTTTTTGAACACGCTAAGTTTTTGAACCTCAACCACGCACTAACATTACTTCTGATGTTGTACCTCTGGCGGTTCGGGCTATCAAGACAGCTTTTTGGTATTTTTGAACAAAGTGTGCACGTCACGTGTCACGTGACGTACGCCACGTGCGTCAAGTGTCACGTGACGCACGTCACCTGTCACACGTACGTCACCTGTCACACGCACGTCACGTAGGTCACGTGACGTACGTCACGTGATGTACATCACGACTTAGCGTGTTCAAAAAACACGCACACACAATACTAACATTACTTCTGATGTACCTCTGGCGGTTCGTGTATCAGGACATCTTTGTTCAAGATCATTAGCGATCATATGTCTATAGACCAGAACGAGCCGCATGCGCATGCCCGCACTCGCGAGAGGGTAAGGGGAATGGCCACGGAGGAGCGTTGGGAATTGCTAAGTCTGAACTGAGCACGTCTGTTCACTGCAGATAACTGACAAGGTAATTTGCGGTGATTCATAGGTATTTATAATCTCGATTTTACCCACCAGTTTTAACTAAGTCTGAACTGATAAGAGCACGTCTAAGAGAATTTGCGGTGATTCATAAATATTTTTATAATATCGATTTTCCCACCACTTTTTAGATAAGTCTGAGCTGAGCATGTTTTGTTCGCAGCAGATAACTGACAAGATAATTTGCGGTGATTCATAGGTATTTAAAATTTCGACCTGTTTTTACCACTTTAGAAAAATCGTTGTTTACGAAAATTAAGAGATAACCTGTCATCTTTTGCAACCGTGTGACAACAGTGTTCCAGGGTCACCGCTGTTATCGTTGGCCAATATTAACTCGTTGACACCCCCGCGAGCAGTACTTCTTGCATATCACCGCTACGACAACACCTTCACTGAACGACTATCTATCTAACCTCATTTGCG